CCCCCCCCCCTTTTTTTTTAGCGGTCCAGGTCAGCCACGTTCAGCAAGCAGTCCTGTGTGCAGTAGGGAGCCCCTCCTGTTGTTCTGAACCTGTGGCCATCCTTTGTAAAACATGCACTCCGATGGTGATGATTCTAGCCGTGTAAGTTGAAGATGCAATACTTAAAAAAAAAAAAAAGAAATAAAAAACACAGAGGTTCTCAAACCTGAAGGGATGACGCGGGCCGCTGACGCGATTAAAATGTCTCCATCCTGAATGTACTGTAGAGCAACGGCTCGCACCGACTGAGATGAATAAAGGTTGTGACTTTAAAACGTCTCGGATCCAGAACCGTTTGTCAGCTCTTCTAGAACACGATTCCCACACAAAACATGACCCTCAGCTAAACAGATAGCAGGTCACGCTCCAGTTGTCGGGCTGTCTGGAGCCACTGTGGGCATGTCGACACACACCTGCAGTCAAAAGATCAGAATTATTGCAGCAAAAGGGGAAAAAAAAGTCAATGTCATGTCAAAAAGTCATGTATTTCAGTTTTCTCTAATATCACACGAACATGTTAAGAGATTATCTTATTCACGTCTCATAAATATTAGCCGAGAATGAGACTTTACTATTTATGTAAAAGTACTTTTGTTCATTGTAAATAACACAATATCTCAGTTCACAAGTGTTGGGAACTTTCAGATGGATGACAAGACCTCAATTAAGAGAAGTGACTTTATCAGCTTCTAATATGGCCTGTTTGCTTAAAACACTATGAATTTTAAAGTTTCAGTTGGTATTGATGTAGCAATATATTAACAGCATGAGTTGGCTCACTCATAAGGAAATATTCTGTGACTTCTCACCACCCAGGCCTGTGTCCTCTTTCACTATCCATTTAAAACGCACACGTTTCACCATAAATCTGCGAAAGAAAAGAACAGAAAAGGAGAAATATATAGTTTAGGGATATTCAGGGGAAACTATTAGTACTTAATATGAATAATAGTAGTGATTTCTTGGAACAACAACAAAAAAACCTGTATTGTCATGTGACACAGGAAGTAAATCTCAAAAAGAAACTGATTTTCCAAAGTGTGGATTTCACTCGATTGTAAAATGTCCCATCACCCACAAACACACACACACACACACACACACACACACACACACACACATTCCCTTTAAGACTACAACCAGCAGCATGGGCCGGCTACAAAGCTGTTTAAGATCACGTGAAGTGTGTGCAATCATGGGGTTGTTTTTCCTTCCACTCCTCCACAGACCGCATGTGCACGTACTTAGTGTTTCATAACCCTTCAGAGATCAGCTTGTAAAAAAAGGGGGAGATTTGGAGGCCGGAATGTACACGGCCACCATGTCACACACCAGTGGACGCGCGATAACCACGGCGGGACCGTCCCACCGTGGCTCCGGACAATCTGGGTTTGATTCCAACTCCTTGTCAGCTGTTACTGATATGCTGACGCAGCAAATGGCAACCGTGACAATGTGGGACGCTTTTAGACGAAAATCCAAACCCAAACTGGAGCCAAGGAGGCTCATGAATGTCAGGAAAACTAATTTTGTAGGCGTAAAAATCTAAATGAATGATGAGATTGCAGGTTGTAGACCAAAAATGAAGGTGTAATCCAAATTCAACGCTGAATGTCAACATGACAAAAACTCTGCTGTCATCACGACTTATGCTGGCCTAATTATCTCTGGATGTGTGAGTCAGTCAGGAGGAACGATTAGACTTTAGACTCATGCTCATGTTTGAGGCAGAATGTCCTGTCTCGTCTGCTGCTGAGATAATCTGGAGCACAGTGTGTGCCTGTGGGAGTCTGTCTTTACCATACTTGGTAAAACACTGTCACCTAGTGGAGGAAGAGCCATCAGTAATTTTCCGGCGATGACTCGGTTTCCCACTGACAGCCGTTTGGTTTAAACTTTAATCAGCTAAATGACAGCAGTAAAAGAGAAAAATCCCACCCAACTTGTTTTAGTGTCTTTTAATTATGTTTATAACTTTGGGATTTTGCACTGCCAGCAAAGAATGGAACAGATTCTTTCATTTTTCTTTAAAAAGTTGTGTCAAATAATATATATAACTTTTTACAGTCATCATAGGTGGCAGGGTCATTATTAATGACACAGCTAAAAAACCGACTAAATGAATCCAAACTAAAGTAGCTTCTCTTCTACAGTGAGCTGCACCTACTTGATTTTTATTTTTTTTCACACACAGTGACTCTTTGATACTTCCTCTTCTTTCATCATGACAAAAGCTATGTTCCGGAATCCATATAACATATTCCATACCTGGTGTCGACATCCAAAAACACATTTGAGCAGAAGTAATTGTGCTTCTAGTCCTCATTGCTCAGTAAGAGTCTGCCCTGAGATGTCGGTAACAGAATTTTGCAAAATTGTGTTGGTGGGGATCTTTTGGCCATTGCAAAAGGAAACGGTGGAGATTTAGACAGACCCAGATATACGCTAAAGGTTTTCTCATGAGAAAATGTGTTAGAATTTATGCCAAAAACTGAGACTTCTGGGACGTGCATGGCACTTTTAGTAAAGGGGCGCATTAGATAAAAAAAAAAGAACATTCACCTTGTTGTGTTTTGTTACATTGTTATGTGAAATTGACCTTTGAATGAGTAGAGCTGGGCCACATTGATATATGATGTGATGTTAAGGAGAATCACAAAGCACAGTCATGTCTAGTCAGGATCTCTTAAAATATTTAGAAGGATCTTTTAACTTCTTATGAAAGAAAATCGGACACGGCGTAAAATGGTCTCTCCGAACGTTCTCCTGTCTGAGACTCAGCGTAGAACCTGTGTTCACAGTGAGCAAAGCCCATGAATCCATACACTTTTTCCCCACTATGTGGCACCAGATCCTTTCATGTGTCGGCGGTAAGTCCCACTCAGACAGAACCCTGTCTTTATGTCTATATCGGCTCTGAAATGGAACATCCATCCATTTTCTACACCCTCAGATTGGTCAACAGGACCCTGGATGCAACATTTAGGTCTGGGCCAGTTTTTGTCTTCTCTAATCTTTAGGGATTTAGTTCCTGGGAAAATCGTTGCTCCTTGTGCAAAAGGCATTTTTAATGTGCATGCTGCTGCTTCAGAGCAAAATAGCATTATTTATTAATGCGGTCAGGCCATCCTGAATTTAACATCAGGTAATCAGCCTGTGGGCTAAAACTCACCTTTCTTCATGAGAAAACTCTCATCGTTCTTTAACAAATAAAGATCAGTGCGCGTCAAAACAGAAGAATTCATTTTGAGGATTCCAATCAGTCACAAGCATCCAGTTTTCAGGTTAAAAAGTCTGTTGTAATGATTGTATATATGACAATGGAGAAAAGAGGCTTTTCAATCTACAATAAGGATAACTACAGAAGATCAGTTAAGTGTCTTTAAAGCAGGAATTAAATAAGGCTAAGGTGCCAGCTTTAATCAGATAACCTGACATTAGGAGAAGCTGTTTCATTGCACCAGAAAGCAGCACAAAGCCCGACGAGGGCTCTACATCATCAGAGAGTGTCAGAGCGCTAACAAAGAGGTAATTTGAAGAGTTGTTACGTGACAAACAGGACTGTTATGTGTGCTCTCCAGAAATGCCACAAACGTCCAGCCTATTGAGCCCCTCTGCCGCACAAAACCACAAACCCAGCACCGAAAACGAGACTTCCCATCCGCCTTACCCATCCAGGATCGTTACTGGAATAGGGGCATTTATTTTTGGTTGGATTCCTATTGGTTTTCACGAAACAGATCAGAAAAGAACGATGCTGCTGTCACAGAAACTCCAGTCTGTTCTCAAATAGCATCAAGAATAAAAAAAAAGCTTTTTTTTGTGTGTTTTGGTTGTTCAAAAACGTCAGAGATCTTTCATTAGAGGCGGACCGTCATGATAACCACCGTGGACACACTGACCCCTGCTCCTGGGCAGCCCCATGCTTATCCTAAGCATTCAAAATGAAACCGCAGTGCTGACAATATGGCCCAGTTTGCTCGTGTCAACAGACTGCCAAGCTGCAAATATCAACGTGAAGAAAGTAGACAAGAATTTACAGAGATGCTTTGGGGGCTAGCAAAAAAAAAAAGAAAAAAGAAAAAAAAAAGCTGCTGGCAGCTCCTCATCATGAATTTTTAGTTGTGTTGGTGATCTTGCCGTCCTAGAAATGTCAGCCGCAGCAGCTCCTGCAGTTAAAGGTGCAAATTACTGTTTTTTTTTTGCAGATTTCATACGGAGCTGCCGTGAATCGGCCTGAAACTTTGGCGTGATAAAAAGAATTCCAGCTCTGCTTTGCAAAAGCAGACAGTCCGCTGACAGACTGCCTGCTTCTGTTGCACGGTATGGGATTATAGAGTCCAATTCGGTAAACGTAGATGTTCTATTTATTTATTGTTTTCATGTGGGGGTTTCTTCACTTTGGTCAAGGCCTTTGGTCCAGGTCTCCGACCCCGTTCAGGGACAAACGCCGGAGCTTTTTCCAGCGTCTGCTCTGCTTTTAGCTCCTTCGTGACTCACGCTCTGGACCTCATCTCCATATCGTAGACGCGGTTCAACACCCCCCCATAGAAACACACACACACACACACCCTATATCCAGTTGACTTGCGGGGGGGAGCAAACCCATGCAGCCAATTACCGGGCCGACCGAGGAGCTGTTGGAATCCGCAGGGGTTTGGGAGGAGGCAGGAATGAGCAGGGCAGCGGGGGGGGGCTCTGTGTGTGGGGATGTGTTACA